TCGCTTCTTTTGTTTAAGAGCTTAGGATTTTTTATATTTTTCAGGATTATTAATTTTTCAGAGAGACATAAGTTATTGCCTTTCCCGCTGAAGAGGTTACCTTTCTCTACTAATTCCCAGGTTATTATTGGGGTTTTATTCTCGCTTTTTAGCTTCCAGAAAAATTTAGAGAGGGCAGTGCTGTTTCGATATTTGATATTGTCAAATGTCATTCGGTGGTAGTAAAAGCGCGATTTTCAGTTGTTTTCCGTAGAGCCCACGTAAAAATTGACGTCATCGCCATGTTTGATTTCAGTTTTATAAACTAACGATTTGGACACACATTTAGCATTTAATGGACAGGGTTAGCTATTTCTGCAATTTCAGTTATTAGTTATTGGGATTTTGCTGCTTTGAGGGTTGTTGAAATGCTTGTATATAATGGAATTGTTGTACCGAGCTGTATACTGGTCGATGCTCTTAGCACAGCAATAGTTAATGTTATTTTTGTTGAAGATCTTATTAAGTGTTGGGGAATGACTAAAGTGTTTGTGGATTAAATTAAAAATACTTTCCGATGTTAGTTTTGACGTTTTTGTTGAAGGGCGGATTAAATCATATAATATTGCATTTACGACGTTTTGATTTGTTGGCGTCTTTATTGATATTTGCTAAGAACTCGAGGTTAATTTTATGGTTACTAAGTACGAGTACGTCTAAGTATTTGTTATGTCAGCAATGAAATTCATAGGAACAATGTAAAGTCACACTTCCCTCGGAAAACTCCACTGCTATTGAAAAGACACAGAGATTCAGGTTGAAATTCTTTCGTGAATAAGTATAAAGAAAAATCGTCTTGGGAAAGAGTATTATGAATAGACGAAATCAAAATAGATTTGTTTGGACGTAATTCGAGAAATCATGTGTAGGGGGCGGGAATATGGCGACGCCTTCAAACAAAAGAACACAGTTCCAACAGTGAAATTTGGTGGTGGCAGCATCATGGCTTTGGGATGTTTTTCTTCAAAAGGTACTGGCAACATATCAGTAATAGATGGTAGAATGAATGCAGAGCATATCAAAATATTTTGGAAACAAATTTAATGATTTCGGTTGAAAATCTTGAACTTTCTCCTGATTGGATTTTCCACCAAGATAATGATCCTAAGCACACTGCAAAATCAATAAATAAATGGCTTAATGAAAATAATGTAAATATTCTGAAATGGCCAAGTCAATCCCCAGATGTAAACCCAATCGAGAATTTGTGGCGTTAATTCAAATTCAATCGAAAACTCCAACATCTCTGATCTGAAGACCATATGCGAAAAAGTATGGAACAAAATACCAACTAAAAATTTGAAAATCATTAATTGAAAACTACAGAAAGAAGTTGGTTGCTGTAGAAGTGAATAATGGCTATTAAATGAAGATTATGTATCCTTTTTTATTGTACGAATACTTTTTCACACATTAAAATGGATAAATGTGAATTATTTCTACTAAATCATTTTTTCTTTTCTACGCATATTTAGTTATTATGACTCTGTGTACAATTAATTATATGAAAAGTATGTTTATTAATTAGTTGGAAATACAATAAATTAAAAAAATTTCTGTGTACGAATATTTGTTTCCCACCACTATATATATATATATATATATATATATATTGAGAGTTACGTTGCTTCGACTTTGTACCATCGCTGACTAATTCTGGTGAAACAGCCTATCCATGAACAGACGAGAAATAACACGTTGTAAAACTATTGACTTCGATACCTTTTACTTAAGAACGTAGAAGGATTCAAGATGGCGGTGATGACTAAAACGATTGAATTATCGTCAGCTTATCAATTTAATTTTTTGCCCGTTTTGTGCATACATTAAAATTTTTAATTTATTGTATTTCAAACTTATGAATAAACATAGTTTTCATATAATTAGCTATATACAGATGTATAACTAAATATTTTCTTTTGAGAATGAATTTTCCTAAAGAACAATGACAAAATTAATATCATGTTGGTATAAAAAGGATAAAAATCGTGACTTTTTTAAAACTGGAAAATGCTTATTTCTTACTTTTAACCATCGAATAGGTCTTTTTGCTTTCCGATTCTCGTACGATGACCTAAGTTAAGCAACATCGAACCTGGTCAGTACCTAGATGACTGACCGCTTGGGAATACCAGGTGCTGTAAGTTTGGATGTTTGGATAGTGTAATGGATAACGGCACAGAATTAAAAATCAGCGAGCTGAGTTCCAGTTCCAGTCGAGTTCATTATATCCATTACACACAAATACCTCTGGGAAATATATCAATCCACCTCTTCTCTAAAAGATATGGTTTAATTAGTTTTTACTTGTATCAGTAAATCATTATCTCCCACAATTCTTACAATCTAAAAATATATTTTGGTTTTAAATAACCTGCAAAAGGTTGATAAGTCGTAAAAAATCAATCAATCAAAGTTTTTGTTTTCTTCCTTTTCTCCTTTGGTTTGTACACAGTAGTTAAGTAATCCAAGAACTTTAAGAATTTATCATCTTTAGATTGAAGGTATTTTTCCGTAAATGTATTTACGAAAAATAGCTTTCGTAAAATTATTTCTGTGTTCTCTGTTTGAAAGGGGTCTATTTTACGCTAACTGTTTTGTATGTAAGGTTAAAAACGTAACCGTAACCATACCATAGGGAATTTAATTCAATTCTTTCGTTTAAAAAATGTTATCTACTAAAATGGACCATAAATCCGCGTTTTGAATCCGACTGCTTTGCTAAGTTGGTCCGGTAGTCAAGGTAAATTATATTTAATGAATGATGTAATGGACTAACCTGTCACCCCATGAGTGACTACACTATAGGTAGTATCTACCTATATGTATCTGTAAGTCAACGGACTACATAGACTAGCTGGGATCTGTTACTTAGCTCTTAGTTGTTTTCGAACTCTCTGCCTTTGGGCAGAGATGAACCAGAACGAGGCTATGTAGACAGACCCGAACCCGTTTATGCAGGGTCTACGGGGAATTTTTGGCCTAGCCAACGGGCTCGGATTGCCCCACATTAAATTCAGCTTTATGCCACATCCTACTTCGTGGGGAGGTTGGTAAATATTATTAGCTGGGATCTGTTGAGCACGACTCAGACTTACGCGAGAACTACCGACCTTCCAATAGTAGTACTCACTACTGGATTGACTTGCGACAACCTTGTGCATAACTGTTACCTTTATTCTTCTTGTACTGTTTTCTTACAATAAACCTTTATTTATTACACCTTGTTTTTTCAAGTATATATTCCTATAACGAGTTCTATAAAAAATATTTTAATAAACAATAATATTATATTTAATAAAACAGATAATAATAATTTGCATGAAAAACTAATTAAGAAAATTAGAATGTTACTAACAGGGTTTCTTTTTCTAATGAAGCTAAATGTTTTTTATTTAAAAAAAAAAAGAAGCATGAATAAATGCGTAAAGACTTGAAAAAAGAGACTCTAAATTGATGTCATATAACCCTCCCAAATGAAGTCAGACGGTTTAAACATTCCGTGGAAAAATTTACAAAATGAAGCTCGGCTTCGATGTTTTTAAACCAGCCAAATTTAAATTGCAAACAGACATGTTTTGATAGGATAGTGATTCTCGAGATTTTAACCATTGGTGATAAAAGTATATGCCACCTAAGGATTGGGGTTTTGATACGGTTGGAGTCACTTGATTGCTATATAAATTTTGATTGCTGGGAAATTTTTCACTGCAAAGTTATAAATGAATAAACCACCCGGACGAAGAAGCTGTGATCTATGCAGAAAGAATTGACCGTTTAGGCGTGTAAAGTCTGCTACTGCTGTTGAAAAGATTGACCACCTGCTGCATGCAAAGGCATTTATCTGGGGGAAACGAATATACCACTCCGGGCGAGAAAGCTGTGATCTAGGCAAAAAATATTGACCGTCACATGCATGTAAAGACTGTTGCTGCGGAAGCAGAAAGTAACACTCGAGCACGCTCGAGCAAGAAAGCTATGATCTGATGTCAGTATGGATTCGACCGCTCAGACAAGAAAAAAAAATGGGATGATAAAAATCTTCTTCTTCTACGACTATTACTATTACTAGTACTACTACTACTACTACTACTAGTAGTAGTAGTAGTAGTAGTAGTAGTAGTACTATTGTTGCTCCTGCTGATGAAGAAGAAGAAGAAGAAACATACGAGAATTCTCTCCTCGACTAATGTATTTTCTAAACTTGAGTTTATCTCATTCCAATGTCTTTTCTAAACACGTCAGCGCTATTTCATATTTAAGAACGCCTGTTCGAAACATCTATTTAGTCTAAAGGACCCAGAGAGCCAGCTTCGTCGTAAGTCAACTTTTTTCACACCACCTTCGACCTTCGACATATCGAATTTGTGAATTTTTCAAAGTAAGTAAATTTTGTTTGTTGCTAAGAAATTGATTTGCATGAATCGTTGCCCCAAGAGAAAGTTGTTAAAATTCTTTTGTTTTGCATAGATTGATGTTTTCTAAGAGAAAGATTTATATTTCAAAAAATTGTTAATCTATCTTGAATACTGTAATTTGTACAATTTATGTATTGCAAAAATATTGTTGCCATTCTATTAAATGTTTGTTTCTTTACAAAGAGTCTTGTCTTTGTTGTTAGCGCCTTTAAAAGTACTTGTAAAAGGAATAAGACAGTTGAAATCTTCTTCCTTTTTTGAATCCCCTCCTTGCTCTCCTTCCTTCTCCTTTTTTTTTTCTTTTAGCTCATTCCGGAGATAATTGCTAGTGTAGTGATCTTTCTTTCTTTCCAGGACCCCACTATGGTTGCCATTATACCAAACTTAGATTCTTCATTTGCAAATCTATCGTTAGGTATTAAGGGTTGTGGAAATTCCATTTTCTAATTTTTTCAGTATTGTCTTTCAGATCCAAAGATATCGTCATTATATGAAACCATGTCCGTTTCGTTTATCCATGTCTACAACGCATCTCTGCGAGGTATGAAAAACCTACAAGTGTTTCGGGAAATTGACCGCGACGAATGTGCAAAAAATTGCGTTCTGAATTCGAAGTGCAAATCTTTCGACTTCGGCACTCTGAATAAACGCTGTTATCTTTTCAACGTCAATGCTGCCACCAAGTACCGTGTTCGCAGGAACAAGCGGAGAGATTATTACCAAATCATTCCCCGTAAGTCATTCATTTACACTAACGGTACTGTAAAAGAAAGCATTCAAATTTAAGTAATAATTCTTTATAGGAAAGTGAAGGGATTTACCTGGCCGTTTTGTAAGTATAATTCTTATGGTGACACATAATTAAATTCATTAAAACACATAACGTGGACATAATATCCAGTATAATAAATATATAAGAAGAGAGAGAATATATGGTCGTCAGCAATAAAAACAATCCGATATACGAGCTACTCGTTAGAGATGTCAAAATCAAGCAAGTACAGAAATTTGAATATATGGGAAGTGCTTTAATAGATGACAAAAATGTGACACTGAAATCTGAAGGCGCGTTATAATAGTGAAACATGCCATTCAGAAGCTAAACAAAATATTAAAAAACAGGAAATTTAGTAGCAAAGAAAATAGTGCTGAACAACTATGCAATATCAATCCTCCTATATGGTAGTGAATGCTGGGCAATTTCCTCACAGATGAAGAGGAGACTTGAAGCAACAGAGATGCAGTTCTACAGATGAATGTTGAGAATATCATGGACTGAAAATGTGAGCAACAAGGAAGTTTTAAGGAAAATTGGAACGAAAAAAGACACATACGGAGAATCAGAAAATGACATAAACATCTCTGGGACATATGATATGGAAAGAAGGCTTGATGAATTTGATACCCACGGGACACAATGAAGGCAGGAGAAGCAGAGGGAAACAGCTAGAAACCTACCTAACTTATGTAAATGGATGTCAGATCAGGCAGCGAAAGGCATAGTAAAAAGACATACATTACTCGTATGGAAAGTATGGGAAGTTGTGGAGAGTCCGAATTGCCAACATTCTAAAAGGATACAGCATATGAAAGAAAAAGAAGAAGAATGAATGAATTAATATAAATCGTAGCGGAGTCAGATTGGAAATAAGGAAAGAAAACACGGCTTTGTTCCAGACACTGGAACATGAAATGCAATTTTTATGATCAGAATATCAGAGTGAGCAATAGAAATGCAAAATGACTGATGCCTATGTTTCATAAATTGCGCAAAAGCATTTTTACGACAGAAAAAAAACTTGTTTTAACTCTTAGGAAAACTAGATTTATACGAAAAAATATTAAAATAATTCGTAATACGTAATGAAAACAAACTACGTGCATGTGGATAGAAAACGAATTAAGCAAGAACACAAAATAGTAAGTGGAGTATGACAAAGATGCGTTTTATCACCAGGTTTATTTAATCTATACGACAAGACGATCCTAAGAAAATCTACCAAGATTTATCATCAGCAGACATGCTGATGACATTGTGTGTTGATGGCAAGCTCAGACAAGGAAAACTGCTAAATTTCCAGGCAAGATCAAAGCCGGCTCAAGGTACTAGCAACTTGGGCAGTTGCCCGGGGCGCCATGAAGGCCCTCATGTCATGTGTTTAGGATCTTCCAAAACTAATGCTTATATAAACACAGTTGTGGTCGTCCATGACTCATGACAGATTAATTTATCTGGCAATTTTGTCAATAGAAAATGATCTTGTACAGAAGATAGGTGTAAAAAGAACTATGAAAATCTTTGCCGATCTATAAAGGATAGAAAAATGTATTAGGTAGGATAATGAATGTTTTCTTTAGCTTGTATTAAGTTATATATTGTAACAAATTCGTTATTCTACATTTTCAGTTGGTCTCCTTGTGAAAATTTTTAAAAATTATACTTTTAAGGACGCTGAAGTTCAGCTTGCCCGGGGTGCCAGCAACCCTAGTGTCGTCACTGGACAATGTAACAAAAGAAAGCAAGAAGAAAGAACAGTTAATTGCAAGAAGATAGAATTTACGGTCATCAGCAAAAGAAATGAGCTCATATTTATCCGAAGCAAAGATAGAAATGTGATTATCTGTGTAGTATAGAAACATGATGAAAATATGATGGAAGTATGAAATATCCGAAAAGCGAAGGTTGCCTTTCAGAAAATAAAGTATTAAGAGATAGAAAAATTTCGCTTGAAACAAAGAAAAAAGACCTGGACAACAATTTCTTATCTATCTTCCTATTTGGCAGTGAATGCTGGACAAATTCTCTACAGATGAAGAAACGACAGAGATGTGGTTCCGCAAACAGATACTGAGAATACCATGGTGTGAACATGTGATCAAGGAAGAAGTTTTAAAGAAAATGGGAACCAAAGGCACATCCTTTAATTCTGTTCTCATTCGACTGCGATATTTCACCTCTGGCATGTAGGAGCAGCGGCGACATACCGCGGGGCGTCCACAACATAGACTAGAGCAAATGTGACCTCAGGAGTGAACACAGACCGTTGGGAATCGTCTACTTGCCGCATGTCTAAAGGCACGCACCTCTCAACCCAGACTTCAATTTACGTCACAAAACCGTCTTGTACGTCTTCAATGGTGTCACGAGAGGGTTACCTGAACGATCAAATGGTGTTCTATAGTGTTCAGCGAAGAGAGCAGATTCTGTCGCCATTGGCGTATGAGATGTAAACCTGATCCGCGACATCTTCCAAGTGGCTTTATGGTACGGATTCTCATAAGTTACAGCTTTCGTTCGTCTTTAGTATTTGTGAAGGGAATATTGAACAGCACTATGTGCTTCCAGAACATTGTTCAACGCGTTCTCATGCTGTTCCTGCATCAGTAAGGCGATGTACTGTTCCAGCAGAGTAATGTCTGCCCACATGATACCCGTGCTTTTCAGCATACACTTCCTTGGCTAGTACGATCGCCAAACCTGTTTACCATTCAACATATATATAAGACATAATGGAACAATACTTGACTCGTTCAATTCATCTTCTTTATTTGCCGTGTCCTTTCAGGATGTAGATGTTCATGACTCTCCATAATTTCCATGTCCTTTGTAGCTCTTAATAACCTTTTTGTTATTTCCCCTAAATCTTGTTCTACCATCCATTTACTTCAAGCTCACTAAGTATGTTATGCGTTGTTTTCCTTTGTCCCTCTTGATTTCAATCTGTCTTGTGAGTATCAGATTACCGAAGCCTTCTTTCCGCAATATGTGCCCGAGAAATTACAACTGTTTCTTCCTCATGGTAAATATAAGTTTCCTTTTTGTTTCCATTTTCTCTAAAACATCGTCGTTGTTCACATATTCAGTCCATGGTATCCTCAGCATCCTTCTGTAGAACAACATTCCTATTGCTTCAAGTCTCTTAGAACTCTTTTTTCTACTGCGTTAACAGATGTAAGAAGTGTGGAATAAAGTATTGCAGGATTGTAAATGTTATCTGTACGATCGTATGCATACTAGTCTACAGGCCCCAAAAGAATATATAATGTATTAATATGGGGTTGTGAGTACTACTGATACACACCTAATTTTGGAACTTGTGCATGATCTGTATACGTTATTCGGTTATATTTTCTGTGGGCTTCAGCTTAAAGTGAAATATATTCAGGCTATTGTAATTTTATTTTCCTCCACTATATATTGTGTATTTATTGAGTATTTTGAAAATATTCAGATCTAATACGACAATGAAAAAAGAAGCAGAATATGTAGCCTCGGTCTTATTAAATAAGGGGGAACCTTTGTGTGTTTGAAAGTAAACATCAGAATCCTGATTTTACATTGACTCAAATACTCATTACTGACGCTGGAGGTAAAAATCTCTACACTTTTAGCCACGGACAAATCCCATAGATTACAAAAATACGCACACAAAGACAAAAATAGAAGTAAAAATAAATGTTTAGATGATTTTAAGGTGATATTTTTTTATTTGTTTTTCTGTCTAGAAGAGATGAATGATAGGGAAATGTAAACTAAACCAATCTTAAGGTAAGAGCATTTTCTAATCGATTTTCTTTTTATAACACGAGTTACTTGTCATTGAATGTGTTCCGATGTGTACAGACATTGAAATCGTCTTTGTTTACAGTCATCTATGCACGCAAAGAATTGCCAGTTGGCTACTATTTTTCCACAGTCTAACACGCCATTTGAAACTCTCAAAATATATTAAACTGATTAAAGAGTATTGCAAAGTAAAAGTTTAGATATTACACTGAAACAAATTGACGAACACGAATAAATTACGATATATAGTAAAAACAAATCATGTGAAATGATACATCCTAACTTGATTACTTGCCTACTATACCTGGCACAAGAGTTAATAATTTATCAATGAGGGTTTACTGAGTTATGGTTATTGCTCCTGTGTTGTAAGTGGGGCTATGTTTCTCTTCATTTTATATGGGTGAAGTTGTTCAGCCCCGGGAATTCCAACCCTGCGGCAACACCTTTCTTATTGCAGAGAGGTTGGATCGGTCTAATACCGATGTCAGCGTGATAGTGGTCGCTGGGCAGGGCAAAAAAACAATTTTCGTCCTTGGCCCATATACATACGTATGCGTATGGCACTTCTTACGTTAAAACGACCTTGTGTCGCATCCATCCTTGACTGAGAGGCCGGGTAAATATACTTACCATTGGTTCTGACACAGTATTTTGGTTAACACACTCCTAAAGACAGATTGAGAAGGCATTGTGTTCAGTTGATGTTCCAGCCTAGAGTCTCTACAACTTATTAGTTTTTTTTTTTTTTGTTATAGGCATTCTAAAGAACAAGGCAGACTATCTATATATATATATATATATATATATATATATATATATATATATATATATATATATATATATATATATAAGGTTTATGATTGCTTCCAGTTATATTCTCTTGATTCAATGAAAGTAAAATGTTATTAGTGATATGACTAATTACCTTACGATATGTACTTTATGTTATATTAAGAAAGCGTATGGTGGCAGAAACAAGAAGAAACTGCAAAGGTTTAAGAAATTAAATTATTAACAAAAAATACAACGAATGGTGAAGTGGTGTGAAAGTCTCTGGTTGAAGGAAAGAGATAAGTAACGCCGTCCGCATAGAGGGAAGGTGAGTCGTGACTTACTGCGGCGATAGGCTTGGGCGTGTTGTCCTTGGAGATGGGAGGCCAGTTGTCTTTGGGTGTGGAGGTGGCGTTTCCGACGAGCATGTGAACCCTCGCTGTTGTGTCGACCGACTGCCGAAGATGTCTTTTTGGTGAGCTTTTAAGTCCTTTCGTAGGCTCAGATCGGCTCCAATTCCTATTTCACTTCTTTAGGAGGGAGTGGGTGGTATTTGGTAAAAAATTGGATTGTATTTTGGTGGGGGGGGGGCGGAAAGCGGAAGGTGTGTGCAGATCCGTTGCGTGTTTGATGGAATTTTTAGTTCGGTCTTGGGTTTCGGAGCGTTCACATCCGGCCCGTGGTGGAAATTTGTATAACATGAATCAGAAGATCTGGTTTAGGAAGATTATAACACCAAGAGTACCAATTAATACACGTTATGTACTTCTTCAGGATTAATGGTACGATATGAACTTCTATAGAAGTATCAATTATAGCACAATATGTACTTCTTCAAGAGTACCAATTATTGCACGATATGTACTTCTACATGGGTACTAATCGAGGTTCACTGAACTGGCTTCGTAACTTTATAACGCTTATCGGTGTAAAAAGTGGAATTGGCGCGCCGAGTTCAAATTCCGGGCTAGTATGTTGCGTTAACTTTCGCACAGATGCTTTAGGAAAAACATGAATCCTTCTCTTCCAACCCACGAGTAAAATTGCAAAGTAGACTGGACTTTCTAGCCTTGAATAGCAACCAATCTAAGAGAAAGAAAACTCTTAAATAGAAAACCTGGAATGAAGCTTTTCCGAAGAATGTATAGCAGTTTATAGATAATAAAGAAAAGGAATCGATGAAGAGTAATTACCGCCTATTTCTCTAATGTCGACTTTACAGCATGTAGTAATATCAATATGATGCTATATGTTAACTAGTTGTGGATATGACGATAAACTACAACCGGCAGCAGGATCTCTGATCAGAAGATTGAAGGTTTTGAGGAATGTGGAACCACCTTTTAATTACTGTTGTTCCCAGGTCCACCCTGATCCGGGGTGGTAGCACAGGTTAGGGTCCCAACTATGGGCAAATAGTGACCCCCCCAAACAAAAACAAAACACTATGAAAGTATAAAAATACATTTTTATAGTAAAATTAATATATATCTATAGTAGAATAAACAACAATACATTTTATAGTAAAATGACCAACAATATATCTTATCTGTAGTTGAAGCCATAGAACTGCTCTAAGTCTTGATCCGAAATTAGTTATTTATATTTCGATATTATATATATATATATATATATATATATATATATATATATAACCCATAGATGTGTTGATATGCCGATAGGCAAAATCAACCAACCAACTATATGTTAACAGGTTCAAATATGAAACCCTTGAGTTTTTATGTGTAGACAAAGGACTGCATTTTTGTGTTAAATCAGACTCTCATATACAGTATTTAATTACGACGGATGTCACACACAGTAGTAAACTGTGAGTCAAAGCTACAAGTCCTTTATAGCAGTTCCTTTTTAATTTGGGGGCTTCTTTTCTAGTCTAATCAGGCTTAATAATATAACTGGAAAGCAAATGATATCTTTTTAAACAGTTGATTATACTGCTTTAGCAAGGCAAACGTTACTATGTCAGGACAGAAGAATGGAGCAGGGGGCAAATTGTCACGAGCTTACGGTTTTGAGGGTGACTACTCCCTTTGATGAAGTATATTGATATTGTAAAGAGAGTCAAGAAAGATCCTTTAGCACAAAATATTAATATTTTTAATAAGATTATAAAAGATTTAGCACTGATTACAAAATGATATTTAATGAGCAGTTTGAAATGGAACCTACATTTCCCAAATAGCCTAGTTCTATTACCACTGACTTTGCACAGGTTTGACTGTCAACGGAAAGTGTACTGTTTAAATGTCGTTTGACGTCGGTGTCACTAGTTTATCAGAGTCGAATTCGCGGTTTGTGGACATAGGTTGGGTCACCCAGTTGTAGAGGTCAAGATTCGTGACTGATGTTAGTCTGTGGGAATAGTGTAAGAAACACCCTGTTAACATCGGTAATTATTATTACTAATGATCAACTCAGCTGAAATACTGTATCTAAAGGCAAAGCTCCAAGTAAGAGTTATAATAATTGTTTTTAACAGCTTTTGTAATTGGATGGAGAATATTTCTAATGTTTTACTGCCAATTCCTTTATTGGTTTCTGGAGCTTATTTCGAGCCTATATGTGAAAATTGTGTCATTTGACTTCGTGTCTTAAATAGTGAAGATGATTGCTGCAACTGCTCTAAGTCTTGATCCGAAATTAGTTTTTATTTTCTTTGATAAGGGATTAAAATCATCATTATTTATTTTTCACATGAAATCGAACCCCAAACCTAATTTCGGCAAACTCTTCTCTCTCCCTGATAATGCAAATTATACATATTTAAAGTTATACTTGTTCAAACTTATGTGAATAACCTTTTGCTTTTAATGATTTACAACAATCGAGTACATTAAAGAAAATATTTTTTAAAAATTGAAGTAACCTATTTAAAACTATATCATTCCAAATTGTACTTCAAATAGGAATTGTTTATAAGACTATATAAGTCTTTTAATCAATTCACCCAAAGCAAGGTGATAATGCTACTTGTCGGGAAAAAAGAATAAGACTTTAGAAAGAACCAAAAACCCGATCCTAAACAGGAAACAAGAGATAAACTTCTACTCCTGTTCAAAAGACCGGGAAGGAATGTGCCCCATCAATAGGCGGACCTTGAAGATTTACAATTAAAAAGACAAGTCAGGTAGCGAGGGTAAAATTCTCAGACATTCTGGTTAAAGCAGCGTTTGTTCCAGCTGCCAAACTGTTCCAACTTTTAGTGACTTATGCAAATGTACTTAATTATTAACTATCTTCAATTTTTTATTTTATTTTTTTCTCTCTCTCTCTTTTAACCAGCGTTCGGAGAAATGATTGTGGTAAAAGGTGCTTCGATCAAAGGACAAGATAACATGTCTCGTTATCGTAATATTTCCATCAAACAATGTAATGCTCGTTGTCAGCTCACTCCTGGTTGCTTGATGTTTGAATATAAAGAAGAACATAATCGTTGCGACTTGACCAACATTACACATTCTGACCATAATCTCACGGCGAATATCTACGGATGGGACTATTACAGCATGAATGATGGTATAGTTTATTTAGTTTTTACTTTGTTAATTGGTTGTAAATTCTGCAGTTTTGTTTGAAACAGTTAGATTTGGATTCCCAAAATACCAAATAAAATCAGACAAATCACAAGACGAATAATAATAATGATGATGATATTTTTATGATCTTTCTCATTAGTGATTTGCATGCCAATTAATTAAAAACGGTGAAAATAAATATTTGAGTAACAAATACAAGGTGTATTCAGTGTATCTGAGATGCAAAAAAGGCTTTGTAGTGTAACTCTATACTGATGCTGGTTTGTACATAATAGACACTGGATTAAAAATTTATGGCGACTATGAATATTCTATATGCTGATAAGAAATGGTTTTGTTTATGTACATACGTCCATAAGTAGAAGAAAATAAATAGTCAATTAGTGGCTGATGTCTTTGTGTATGTAACAGGCGGGTTGTAATGATGTTTTTTTTTTTTAAGTTGCTGCGACCCTAAGTCAGTCTTTTGACGTGTGTGAATCATCTACGACTATTTTCAGTTGTTTTACCGCTTCTTAGGCTTAGTATGTAGATGAAAAGTAAATTGAACCATTTGATTGGTTACTTATTGTTTGAATGAACAAGTGTTGTGTTCTCTACTAAATACGCCGAAATCAAACTGGCTCAATAAATGTTTTTATTTTTTTCTGGAAACCAAGCGCATTTTTTTTTTTTTTTTTTTTTTTTTTTTTCTGGTTATTTGTAATTATTTGTGATCTCTTCTGCGATAGATATCTCTTGTGATGTCAATTATTGCATGGGGATATGTGCATGAATAGCTAAAATGTGTAAACAAAATTAAGCTGGATTCAACCACTATCTTCTTGCGACAACAATTAACTAATAAATGTTAAAAAGCTATTCTTATGATAAAATTCAAATAAATCTCAATCTTTTTTCTATCTTTCACCTAAAACCAGTGTAGAAAAAATGTATATATTTGTTGAAACTTGAATAAAGCATGGAATAATAATAATGTAACACAAAATGTACTTAAACAAAATGTATTGACACAAGAACGTGTACACAATATTTACAGATAGTTTGGTATATTCTTGGGAAGACCGTTCCTGTAGAATGGGTTAACTTAGTCGCAGTCGGGCAGAGTCTCTGGATTGGATCTCTTCTTCCTCCCTCGTCTCCCCGGTACCACTATGTAAATTAGGTGGATCGTACCACAACAATATTGTAATTTTTTATAAAGGTTTTGTTTATTTATGTTTGAGTGCTTGCTGAAGGAATAATTCATATAAAATGTTGTGACTTACTGATGGTGAGTTTGTTCTATGAATGGCAAAGTTAGATTTGTATTTAGAGATGTATGGTAGTTGAGATATTTGTATGTTTGTCTTCGAACCGTGTAGTCAGTGTTTTAGTTCTTCTTAGTACAATATATGCTCCTAGCAGTCAGCACATAGGTGTAAAATATGATATACCTCTGTACACATACAATCAATTTACATACAAAATACACACATGCACACCCATAAACACACACACACACACACATATATATATATAAGGAACTTTCTTCTATTTAGAATTGAAAGTTAGAGATGACCTCAGAAGAATTTTAGTTCTTTAAATAGCTCCTAGTATAACATTACTTTGGCTAATGAAAGAAAAATATTTTTGAAATTCCTTCTTTACCATTATCAAAATGACTCAAGATTTAAGACACCAGACAGTTCCACAGAGAACAAACAACACACAAATGCCTATTACACTGACACTTAGCTGTATATACCTTTTCCTTTTTGCTAGACTTCTTTTGTCACAATCGCTTTCATCCGAATTTCATCAACCCACGGTATTTTGTCCCGACTTAAAAAATAAATAAAAAAAACTTTCCCTAAGATTAAAAAAAAAACTTTACTACTATGAAGCTTTATGCTGCCCTATGCATAATTCTAGAATAAATTCTTGTCAAGTTGAGTGAATTTATCTGTTTATCCTAATTTTAAGTGTTTTCTTCTTTTCTGGGGTCAACTATAAAAGGCCACATTAAAAAAATAAGTATTCCATTATTGGTCAGCACATTCAATACAAACTTTAATTACACACACACACACACACACACACACATATATATATATATATATAGAGAGAGAGAGAGAAAGAGAGAGAGAGAGATAGAGGGAAAGAGAAAGACAGAGACAGAAAGAGAAGAGAGTCTAAGAGAGTGGCATATACACTCTTGTGCAAATTAATTGAAACAACTGCTTTAGTTTACATTTTTTCACCATACGGTCAGTTTTAGACCCACTGGAGTGACAGGGTGTAATTGATTTCTATTCCTCAGATTAGGTCATTTGCAGTGGTGTGCAGTAATATGAATATATTTTCAGAGTGCATGATGAAATTTGTTTGACCTTGAAAAATATTGCATCATCCGTGATTGCATCAAATTTTTATCATGCCAAGACACTATTGTCTCGACTGTTGATTAGTTGTCCTACAGCCATTGTCTGCGATGGACATTACCCAAAGGAAGTGTACGAAAATTGTAAAACTGCATTAACACACTAGCAAGCCTTACCATTGAGCAAATCAAAGTACTATAGGCTGGTTTGGAAATCTCCTGGTTTAAATCCAATCGAGAATCTGTGGTCAATCTGCAAGGAATGACTTACTAATATGTACACTGGGTCATGTTTCATTGGAAAAATATTTTTAAAAAGTAAATAATAATGGAATTATTCGTTTTGTTTCAATTAATTTGTACAAGGGTGTATATGGTCATGGTATTCAGAAATGATCAAAATATGCAAGGGTAATTAATTCATCAAGACTCTCATAAATACTTTATGATAAATAAATCTTGTCTTATTATTTAATCAATCAACTGATCACTTCAAAGCAACAGTAGGTTCCTCTTATAATATTTTTTAGTATTCTTTGTTTTACAGATTTAGCCATAAAAATGGTAACTACCTTCAGATCTTAATAAATATATTTCTGTGTTTATGTTTCTTTTACAGTAAAAAATGAAAAATACTTTTTGAAAGTTCTTCATGCTTCACTTAAGGACAGCCAGTTTTATGACACAATGAAAAATACAACAGTAGAACAATGTGCTACAAAGTGTACAAGTCAATCTCACTGCAGATCATTTGAGTACATACATGAAAACAAAAAATGTTTCTTATCAAAAGATGATGCCTCTAAAGAAAAGAAACTTCAGCGGAAGTACAAGCGAGAATTTTATCAACTGGAACAAGGTATAACAAAACCAAAGAGTTAGATATCTATTTATTCTTCTATAATTTTGTTTTCTAGCTGGAACAATGACAATTTGAATGAGGATTTCCAAAACAGGCAAGCTTTCTCCACTTAAAACTAAGACAAATCTGTGTTGTCTAAACTTCTTAAAATCAATTCATTATAATCATATTATTTGAGTAAATTTTGAAAGTTATAAACAGAAATATTAATAAAACAATCCAAAACATTGATATTTACTATTTACACTGTTTACATTGTTTGGACAGTTGTCCTCATCTTTATTGCAATATTCGCAATGTTTTGGTTGTTGCGCACTCTGGCCTTCTTCAGTTGATATTAGTTCAAAATTCTGACTAATATCAACTGAAAAAGGCCATAGCATATAACGGCCAAAACATTGTGAATGTGTCAATAACAATGAGGACCACAGTTCGAACGATGTAAATAGTATAAATAGTTGCAATACCTCATCTCAGAAATATAAACAAATATTGGTATTTATATTTTTATTGATATTAATTTTTATTGAACATTTTTAGTTTATAGTAAACACAAATAACAAATGTTACTGCTGTCAATGCTTTTGTTACAATTGTATGTTCAAATCATGTAAGAAAGTTATCAATTGTAACAGCTGTCTGTCTAAATTGCAGTTGTAATAGTAAGGGAGTTAGTAATTGTTAATGGCATTCAGTTGCATTTATTAACATTTTCAAAATAAGTGAATTCAATACAAATATGGATTTCATATAGATTTATATATAGAACAACATAACATATAAAAGGAAAAAATTATATTTATATTTATTTGTGTGTGGGTTGCATGTGTATTTGTTTGTATGCATATGTGTGATTCTACAGTTTAAGAAGCCACCTTAGTCAAACAAGATTTTCCAGGCAATAATCCTCATTGAAACAATCTTCAGACTCAGGATGCAAAAGAGAAATATTGTAATTTTGGCACACTCGCTTGCTGAATCAACTAATAAAAATGACCTCATAAATTTCTATTCTCACCATAACAACAAAATCTGCAATAATTATTGGATTCGTTTTCAGAGCAAAATAGTTTTAACCTCCTCCAATACCCTAATTAATTCATATTCAAAACAAAGGGCTTGTCAAGTATTTCAAAATAAAACAATGAGCCATTCTAGTGAATCCAATAAATCAAGATATATTACTGTTGTAACCTAGAAAGGGTTACTGAACGAGGAATAACCAAAACAGAGGTTGGAAATTAAATGGTAATCTTTATAACATCAACAAAATACAATACTTGCCAGCAGTGTGAAGTAGGTAAACCACTGCTAGTGGTGGACTACTTAGACAACATATTACCTCCACTTACAATAGTGTCCAATGTATTTATGATGATTGGGACATACCTATTAATGGTCATAGGTACAGTATTTAACAATTACTCTACCTATCAACTCTATCAAAACTACAAGTGAAAAGAATTTATCTGAGATTAGGATAATTTTTTTTACTTCCCAAACAATAAAAGACTTAATTAATACAAAGCTAAATAATAATAAGCTAAAACATGAAGGAGAAATTTAATCTATTACCTGTAATGATTACCACAAGGAATACATAGGAGAAACCTCAAGGAATTTAAATAAAAGATTATATGAACATAAAAGACACCTTTTTACACACTCAGTGAATTATTTGTACATCATAATGAGTCTGACTGAATTTGGATTTAAGAAATGTTGCTTTAATTAAAAAAGAAAAGAAATTAGAAGTGAAAATGTATACAAAGTGCATTTATCACTAGATCATCCATAGTAAATTTGTATCCAAGTTCTTGCAACATTTCACCTTTCTTGGCAGATCTTCTATTATCACAATTTGCGGTACTTAATAATAAAAGTGATGAAAACAAAAAACAAAAGAAGGAAAGTGAATTAAATTGACTAGACTACCCGCCAGACACGTCTACAAAAAATGATTTTTTTAAATTAGAAATTATAAATTTCAGCATTCTAATATCTTCACTGTTTCCTACCAGTGCATAATTATAACTGAGGCTTGGTTTTTTTTTGTTTTTTTTTATCCTTCAACAGAACAAAACACAGAATTTTTTCCACTTTGTCATTCATTTAACTAACATACATATATACATACATACATATATATATATATATATATATATATATATATATTTAACTAAAATACATACATACATATATATAATAGCTGGCCACTCATATTCAAGGATACCCATCTACTAGGGTAGCTAGCTAATCCCTAATTCAGATGCTCACTCAGCCACATTTGTGTTTGTTCAACACCCACAGGGCCCATTTGTGGTTTATACTGCAACTATGCTGAGCAGACATTAGTTACAGTTTCTAGGAGAGAGCGTGTTATCTAGCATGATCAACAATCTGAACAAGGCCAATGCACTCAAAACCTCGATCACGATGACTTGTGACTTTGTGCTAACACAGCTATCAACAGTCCCCCAAGTGTTCCATCTATCCAAATTCACTCACAAGGCTTGAGGCAACTCGTGGTATGGTTTTGTCCCCTCCAGACCGATAACATCAGCAGGTCTCCTTCCTGACAAATTGACCATGGCGAGATTTGAACCAGGGTCTCATGGTCAGAAAGCGAATGTACTAACCACTCGGCCATATATATATATATATATATATATATATATATATATATATATATATATATATATATATATATATATATATATATATATATATAAGGACAATATGAATAAGGACAAGAAAAAAACTTATCTTAGCTGACATGTTTCATCCTCTGATGAACTTTATCATGGCAAATGTAAGAATTTTATTTTGCAACATGTATTAATAAAATAAAGTAAACATTTTTTTAGTTTTTCAAAAGTTTTAAATTTAAAAAATGATCATAAATATTCATCAGGCTAACTGAGAAATTAGATAAATTTTGGAAGATATTAAGTGACATAATTTAATGTCTAATAAACAAAAGTGAATAAATGATCGTGTTGAGTTTTTTTTTTTTTTCAAAGAAATCTTATTATTTTTCTTTAATTTCTCAAAATATTCAGGCGGGTAGACAATAATAAATATACTATTTGAAAATAAAAACAAATCATCTAGTCAAATATCCACTAAAAATAACATTTAGGTAATAAGAATCAGTTGGATTAATAATAAAAAAATTCCATTACTTTTTAGAAATTGCTTCGTTTATGTTTGAATGTGAAACTGAGCAGATATGAAATTTTGAGAATCTATGATGAGAAGGATTTTGCACGATTCAGCCTTGCTTGATTGGCTACGCTCTTCATGCCTGAGTCAGTATAAGCACATCAGATCTGACAATGGTTTCTCCATACACACACACACACACACACATATATATATATATATATATATATATATAGATATAAATGCACATAAATAGACATATTGCCTTCTGAAAGCTAAACAAAGTATTAAAAAACATAAAATATTCATTAGAAATAAAGAAAAGAGTGCTGAACTGCTATTTAATATCAATTCTCCTGCTGGACAATTTTCTCACACATGAAGAGGGGACTTGAAGCGATTATAAAATAAAAAAATGCTATTATAAAAATAGTACTATATTTCTTCATTTAGATCTTATACTAAAAGTTTTAGTTTTCTATCTTTTGTCAAACATTTTGTTCCTTTTTTTGTTTCTCTGACTGTATGTTTTGCATGTTTCTGTATCCAGGCACTTGATACATTTGATACAATATTTGATACATTTTTTTACAGAAAGAGGAACCATGAATATTATCCAAGGAGCAAGCATTCCAGGCATGGATTACTTCCCAAAATTAAAATTGCCAAGCCTGGAGCTTTGTTTGGCCAACTGCCAACAAACACCAGGTTGTAATTCAGTTGAGTACAAGGCTTCCAATAACAAATGTGACAGAACTAATGTTACTCATTTTGATCATTCTTTGAAAGCAAGTATTTGGGGTTGGAGTTTTGTTGAGATTAATGGAGGTTAGTATCTTTTTAATCACTTTTCTCAAAAATTATATTTCAGATAATTCAATTTTGACTCTGCTGTGTTTTTGTATTTACAGAAAACAGACATAAGATAAAAACAATCTCAAATACATTTTCACAAAATGGAGGCAGCTGAGAAAGCAATTTCTCTTCAGTATAACTTACAAAACCAAATGGGTGAAAAACATTTCTCTCATTGGTATATATAGTGTCATCTGATAGTAATTAAAAAAAGATTTCCCTGGTTTATTGTAAAAAGCATGCAAATAGTTAAGGTCCCTGACCCTGCAGGAAAAACAAGTTACATGTGAGTAAAAAATATTATCATTTACCACTTAATTCTGTAGTTTCTTTTATATGTTTTTTTTTCACAATAATGTTATATCTTCAGATACACAAGCCAAGCTTATCATAGAATGTGCCAAAAAAGAAAATAATAATGTGTTAATATTGAAAAAAAAACACAGCTGGCTATGATGTGTTCTTCCAACTAAAAGCATGAATTGTGACTTTATTTACCATTATTTTCAACTAATTCATTCATTTTGTTTTTGTGGTGACAAAGTGAAAGCAAAGTCTTACCTTGAAAGAGAATTCAGATTCTCTTTGCTGTCTGTTGAAAATGAAAATCAGAGTCAAAATTGGGTCGACTAGTAGGCCTTAAAATATTTTGCTCTTCCATAACCAGTCTTGACCAATAACAGCCTTTTCTTACCCTAATAAAAGAATGCTAATTTGGATGACAGAGCATTGTTCTCTGCTCTTCATTGAGGAAGAATATAGTTGTGCATTGTGAGTTGTGGATACAGATTTTTAACTCCTTTTGATTTATTCCCCGAGGATTTTTGGCAAACATTGAACTTGCAAGACTGATTTATGATCTTTAGAATTATGACACCAATCATTTGATTTTTGGATCTGAACCTTTCTGTTGCTATTTTCTTACAGTTTTATAGTAATCCTTATCTGAGATTTTGCTTTCTGTGATTTCAATGAGTAACCTCAGAAATTCATAAGTTTT